CTAAGCAATTGACTCTAATTGAACAGAGGGCATATTTCAAAGACAGGTTCCCGACCAGCCAAAGTGAAGAAACCCCGTACTGTACAAGTCCACAACCGTAGAGGATATCCCACTCCCGGATTCGAAGTCGATTGATAGAAGGCGGAGTCAACAATTATGAGCTGACTCCGCCTGTCGTGTTAATCCCGCCTCTACTGATTTTTCATTATCCTCGCTAGTGTTGATAATAGCTAAATTTCTTAGCGTTCGTTTCGTAAACTGATAGAGAGATTAACTCATAGACAGATCGATTATCAATGCCAGCGAGGATTAATTAGATAGATAAGATAACCTAGGTAGTGGCCTCATGAGAATTAGCCGCAACGAGGCGGCGACGTGTTTGGAGAACTCACCCAAAATCTGCGGATCTCCTCCAGATGTCTTAAGTTGAATAGGGTCTTACTCTTCTTGTGGCGTTTTTGTTTACTTTTTTTGATCAATGCTTCACTTGCCACATGTTCTAACAATTCTGAGCCCTACAACCTGCCAAAGTCGATCGCGGGCGCTGTCTTTAAATGAAATCGCTTGAGGATACAACTTTTCCAGTGGATTATCACGGAACTGGCGACTTACAACTTCGCGAATGTCATCGTTCCCATTTACGAGACTCTTGGATTCGAAGCTTGCGTATTTATTCTCAACCAATCAGAAATGAAACTGGTTGTATGTGATGCGGTTTCTAAAGCTATCGGTGAGTTATCGTCCTGTTCTCACAGTTTACTGTTTTCTTACCTCTGTAGCAGTGCACTGCTTTTTCTCTAGGTCTTCTTGAGCACAAATCAAAATGCCCTCATCTGGAGACGATGGTTGTGATGGAACCGATCACCGAAGAGTTGCGCACACTTGCCTCAGAAAAGGGAGTGCATGTTCTCACGTTCGAAGCTTTGGAGAAAATGGGACGTGAAGCTCAAAATCGGCCAACTCATCAGCCACCTAAGGTTTGTCTCACAATCTTGATCTGGAGTACCCTTATTTATTGAATGAATTTTTTCAGCCCGAGGATTTGGCTACAATCTGCTATACTTCTGGTACTACAGGTACACCAAAAGGTGTTATGCTGTCACACGCAAATGTTGTTGCAGACGGAGTCAGCATGGAGTTTTTCAAGTACACAGGAATCAACGTTACGGTTAGTGCTTCGAAAGTTGCCGTAGGGATGACATGATTGTCGAGTAATAATAATGATAACAATGAGATTAATCTTATCTCACTACATAACAATTCAGTCTGTTTGGGGGTGTTTGCCTGGAAATTCATGATTTTCATTGATATGGCTGCAGAGAGTTCTAATTGATGAGAGATGGTAGTGGAAGTATGTGCAGTAGGTGATCAAATGTGTTAGTTGGTAGTACCTGAAATGCAGAACTTAGACCAAATGTTCAATTTGGATATCAGTTCAGTGACCATTTCTGTAGGGCTCACCACGTGATGTGCACAGCAGTGTGCGTCAACCAAGCTAGTAAATAAACAATAGATACGTTATTTATGGCAATTTCGGTTAATGCATCAGCAAACTCAACTGTGGCGCTTCTTTAAGACTCTTGAGATGGGGATGTGGTAATTTTCATATGCAATCGGCCATCGGTATGCGGACAAAACCCCATAAGACTATAGAATTTCTGACATCGTCACGTTTTCGTGTTGAATGGAATTCTTCAAGTTTTTCTTTGACAACATTTGGGCCCTGAGGCTGACATCACGTCTGCAAGAATAGGGCCTGTTACATAAAATCCTGAACAATTTCATCTGATAAGAAAACACAGATGCTGACAAAATGCTGCTGATGTGATGGTGACACTGGCTTTGCCATTCACTTTTGATGCTGAAGGTAAGTACAGCCCCCTCTTCTCTCTATATCCAAGAACGTGTAATAGCGCCTGCTAAGTGTGTTTTCGAATTTCGCCAAGTCTGTGACATGTTAAGAAGCTTATGTCGGCGGATGTTTCATTTTTCACAAGCTTTTCTCGTCTAGAACTTTGTCTTTGTTCTGAAATTTATTGTCTAGGAACCTTCTCACCAATGCAGAAGGTTCTTGTTTACTTGACTGTTAGGAAAAATTTTTGAAAAAAAATTAAAGAAGTGGTTGTTTTACTTCTGCTCATTTTTGTTCTAGAACAGATTTGTTTTCTTTCAGGATGTGATGATTAGCTTCCTTCCCTTAGCTCATATGTTGGAACGAGTAATTGAGAGCGTTTGCTTTGCAAAAGGTGCCAGAGTGGGATTCTACAGGTAACGACATTTGCTAAAAGTCCAAGTCTCAGTTCTTTAAAACAAGTACCTTCAGGGGTGATATTCGGTTACTCGCAGAAGACATCAAAGAGCTGCGTCCAACCGTCGTTCCAGTTGTTCCACGTGTTCTTAATAGGCTTTACGATAAGGTATAATTTTTAATACAGGCTATCAGTGGGTATTTCGCATTGTTAAAATGTTGAGTTCCCTCGTGTCAATTCAGAAAAAGCCACAGCAGGTAGTAGTAACATTTTACTGGTAAGTAGTCAAAGCACGGTCTGTTGTAGGTCTGTGGGGGAAAGTTTTTGCAAAACACGATTCCCCCCCCCCCCTTATACAAGTCACTCATCTGGTGCGACCGGGAAAAATTGCGAGGAAGTCAACAACCGGAAACATTTTCTCAAAGGCGAATGCGACTGCCTCCTTGCGGCGACCAAATTGTCGTACCCCCCTCACTGGGATTACCAATATCTTTCAAAAATTCAGTGTGTTCACTCCAATTATAGTGTTAATTAGCGGCTTATCCGGTTCTTTGAAGGTAATGACCGAGGTGAACAAGTCCTATTTGAAGAAGATGCTCTTCAGTCTGGCTATCAAATATAAAGCTCGCGAGATGCATAAGTATGTTCTTACAGGTGTCCTTACTTATCTCCATCAGCACTATTCAAACGTTTGTTTCAGCTTTGTAATCCGAAATAACGGTTTCTTCGACAACGTTGTTGTTCAAAAAAGTGCGCGAAGGAATGGGAGGTGTGTATCGTCTGTAAATTCAAGCAGATGTTTTTTTACTAATGTATTTTTGACTTGGATATTTTATGCTCCATATCGCGAATATGAGGAGGGCATGGCTGCGTACTTCATTTGAACGCGGGATGAGTTTTTGTGAGAGATCTCCAATTCAAACAACTGCCATCCCGTCAGACGTTGGCAAAATATGACAGTTGTTCCAAAACGAAAAGAATCCCAGAGGGTAGCTGCTGCAAGGTTTAAGTGGGGTACGCAGCCACGCCCACTCAATTTTCGGGATATGGAGTGTAAATGGACAGGTGGATATAACATGGATTCCATATCATTACAGGTCGCGTAAGATTGATGATAACGGGTTCTGCTCCCTTGTCTGAGAATGTGCTCACGTTTGTGCGTGCAGCTATGGGATGTGTTGTGGTTGAAGGATATGGCCAAACGGAATGTGTTGCTGCAGCCACTGTGAGTTTGATGCTAAGCGAATACTCTTTTATAAACGATATGGCATTCGAAGATCTTCTATATGGATTTAAGAGCGGAATTTTGGCCTGGCACGCCTTTCTCTCACTGTTTATCACGTTCTATCAGATCACATGCAGCTCTTTGTAAAACTTACGCTTTTAACAGGTATCTATGGAGGGTGACTCAAACGCAGGACATGTCGGTATGGCAATTCCATCGGCTTCCATTAAATTGGTAGATGTTCCGGAATTGAACTACTTCGCAAAGGATGGAACTGGCGAAGTGAGAAGTGAAGCCTCATTCTAGGAATGTTAAAAACTGGGAAAGATGTTGGAGAGATAAGCCGTAAAGGTTTTTCAATGGAAAAGGATGCCTTCATGTTAGCTCGAGTTGTTTTTGGCGAATAACTCTAGCTAAAATGGGCATCACCAGAGTGAGAATTGCTTCGTTGGTTTCGTTTTTAACAAATTAATTGGAGTGTTTGGCAGTTAAGCTTGTGCACCCTGGAATAGGCCAGTTCCCAAAAAGCGTATAAAAAATACATGCATGCTCTCTATATTAATATTAGTCAAGGTTATATTATTATACATCACGCTTTTCTACTTCTCTAATTTCTGATTTCAGGTCTGCATAAAGGGACCTATTGTGTTCCAAGGTTATTATAAGAACGAGGAGCAAACAAAGGAAGTGCTTGATGAGGACGGCTGGTTGCACACGGGTGATATTGGCAGGTGGACTCGAT